CTAAATGTAGTGCATTTTTTAAGAAAAATGAAACTTTATTAAAGAGAAACGAACAAAAGTACAAGGTAAAGAACAAACTGAAAGCAGAAACAATAAAATAAACCCTACCCAAAGTAAAAAATAATAGAACCCTCCCTAATTAATTATGCTCCAAACAAGACTTCAAATCTCAATCGGAGATTGAGATCTAGTCTTCGACCACTGATTCTTCTTTTTATATACTTTTTTTGTGAGTGTTCAATTTTTTGGTGGGTAAGCAATTGTCCCATGTGACTAATAGAGCTTTTTGACAAATACTCTCATTCGCATCAGAGTCCCAAAGGTCTAAATGTATTACAAGAAATATGAATTGAGTTGTCTTAAGATGTCTGCCCACCAACCCCTGTGTGCTTTAAGCATAATTTTGCGCGATCATGCTTATTATTGTGCTCATTATAGACATCATTGCATATTAACTCCCACAAAGAAAAATTTAAGGAAACCCAATTACCGATCATGCTTTAACCCACGATTACCGATCACAACTAACATCCAAATCGATAAAAAACGCAAGGGAAACAAAAGTGGAGAATCCAATTAAAGGGGATACTAAAGGGAAATATGAAAAAAGTGGGATGAACTAAGTGCCTCAATCATGTCTCGTTTACTTGGTGTTATGTCTATTGGTGTGTGGCTTTGTGTGACCACTGTTCTTAAAATTAGTCAAGTTGGATTGATTAATCGGCTTAGTCGGTCCTAACTGTAGAGGACTAATCGGCATAGTCAATAAAACATCGGCCTGGTCGGCCAAAAAATTCGCCTAGTTGCCGCTTTGGCTCTAGGCGCCCCTCAATCATCTGACTAGCGTCTAGCGAGTTTTAGAACAACTAGCACAGCACCCGTGCATACACACGGGAAACAGTTGGTCCTTATATATTTATGTTCATGATCGAATTAAATATAACAATGTTTTTTTTTAGAATTTTATATCATATAAAAAATGGAGTACAATAAGTTAATATCAAAAAGTATAAATCCATACCACAAATATTCAAAGTAAAAGAAAATTAAAGTAAAAAAATCAACACTATCCATTAGAATTTGATACGTAATAATTAGCATTGTTGGCATTAAATAATAAAATATTGAACTTAATTGTTAGAGTTTTGAAAAACTGCTTTAAAGAGAACTTTTAACATCTAGTGTTTTTCTCTTCTTATAATGTATTAATAAAATCATCAATCCATATTTTCTCCCTCGATAGTGCCATACATATAAAGCTTTACATGACTAAAATATGTCTAGGTAGAAAAATTTCTTCTTTTTCCAGTGATAAAGCTAGATCTTTATTGAAAAATGTCTTCACATAAGCTTAAAATGTCTTGAGATAGAAAATATGAGAGAGGAAGTTCTCCCGGTCAGTTATTATTTGTTTATCTTATACCTAAAACACCTCATATGAAAAAGAAAATTTCTCCACTCAATTATTAGTCTGCTAACCTTATATTTAAAAGCACTACATATGAGAGTGAAATTTTCCACCACAATTATTAATCCGCTTATCTTATCTTATACCTAAAAACACTACATATGAGAGAGAAGATTTTTCCACTCAACTGTTATTAATCTGTTTATCTTCTTATACATAAAAGCACTACATATGAGACAGAAAATATTCAGGTCAATTATTAGTCTGCTTATCTTATCTTATCTTATACCAAAAAATACTACAAATGAGAGAAAATTTTCTCGTTCAATTATTAGTTCACTTATGATATATCTAAGAATACTAAATATGAGAGAGCGAATTCTTCCGCTCAATTATTAGTCTGCCTACCTTATACTTAAAAGTAATACATATGAGAGAGAAAATTTTCCCGGTTAATTATTCATCCGCTTATATTATACGTAAAAGCACTTCATATGAGACGGAGAAAATTTGTTCGCTGGATTATTAGCCCGCTTATCTTATAGCAAAAAGCACTACATACACGTAAGAGAGAAAATTCTTCCACTCAATTATTTGTCCGATTATCTTATCTTATACCAAAAAGTCGCACTACACGTGAGAGAAAAAATTCTCCCGTTCATTTATTTGTCAACTTATTTTATACGGAGTATCTAAGAGTACTGCGTATGAAAGAGAAAATTTTCCTGCCCAATTATTAGTCTGCTTATTTTATTCATAAGAATACTACATATCAGAGAGAAAATTCTCATGTTCAATTATTAATTCGCTTATCCTATACCTAAAAACATTATATATGAGAGACGGAATTCACTCGTTCAATTATTAGTCTATTTATCTTTTCTTATACCTAAAAGCACTCCATATATGAGAGAAAATGTCCCCGCTTAAAATTATATCAAATTTCATATTTGTTTATTATCTTTCACATGACAACAATATTGTATATATAAATATATAAATAATGATTTAACTCTTTAAACTCATGTTTTATAGTGTTATACCTTTTTCATTTGTCCAGTTTACGATCATTTTTTCGTGCACATTAATCTAGAGTGATAGGTTAGAGTAAAATTGCAAAATATCCGGTGAAAAGAATAAAATCGTAAATAAAAGTGATAGAATTTGTGAGGTTTTATTATAAGTTATCGCTTCAGATTAATAGCGTGCACGGTACAAAAAGATCATAAACTGCATACATTAATAGAATTTATATTTTTTATTTATATACTTCCTCTGTCTCTTAAAACATTGTAAAATTTGATCGGTATAGAGAATAATAAAGTAAAAACTGTATAATTGAAAGTTGTGCGGAGGAGAGAGAAATAAAAGGAACTACAAATCTATTGATTAGAAGAGAAAATGGAAAAGTTTTTGGGACAATAGAAAAAGAAAATATGACAAAGTTTTAAAGGACGGGGGAACTGGGGAAGTATATGCAATATTAGTGCCCTTTGAAGTACAAATGAAAAAGTTTTGGTATAAGATAAGATAAGCGGACAAATAATTCATTATTATTCATACGGCACTAATATTGCATAAACTTCCTTCGTCCCGTAAAATTTTGTCATCTTTTCTTTTTTTATTGTCCCAAAAACTTTTCCATTTTCTCTTCTAATCAATTGATTTGTAAATTCTTTTATTTCTCTCTCCTCCGCAAAACTTTCAATGACACGGTTTTTTATTTTATTATTCTCTATACCGATCAAACTTGACAATGTTTTAAGAGACATAGGAAGTATATACATAAAAAATATAAATTCTATTAATGTATATGCAGTTTATTTTCTTTTTTACCATGCACACTATTAATCTGAAGCGATAACTTATAATAAAATTGCACAAATTCTATCACTTTTATTTATTATTTTATTCTTTGCACTGGAAATTTTGCAATTTTACTCTAAGCTATCACTCTAGATTAATAGTGTGCACGAAAAAAATGATGGTAATTTGGACAAATGAAAAAGTTATTCCACTATAAAACATGAGTTTTATTAAAGAGTTAAATTATTATTTATAAATTTATATATACAATATTGGTGTCATATGAAAGATAATAAAAAAATATGAAATTTGATATGATTTTTGTGACAAACAGATTACAAATAAAAAAGATGTAGTACTTCAAAAAATTAAGGGATTTTATTTGATTGGGAGCTATCATTTATTTAAAGAATTTTAATCTAGTAATAAAGAGGTGAGAGCACGGATGAATTTTTTTTGGGTGAGTTAGTTTAGAAAGCCACATGGCATTTTTACAGAAAATGAACAAACTGTGGAGAGATTGACACATAGGAATCATTAAGGGCATAATTGTATTTTAATGAGCTGTTTCTTTTCTTATATATAAATAGAAAATAGATAGATGTGTCTGGCTAAAGAGCTTCTTGAGCAAAGCACTAAGTCTACACAATTGGGCAGTTTCAATTACAAGCCTCACATTTTGGCCTGGAATTGATTGAATCATGGCTATTTTTGTGTTGAGCCTTTGTCTACAGTCTACACAATAGATGGAGCTATTGTGATAGTTCCATCTACCGTCTACACAACAGGCATGATCAACAAACATCATGTCATTTTGAATGTGATTGTTCAAACTTGCCGGGTCGCTTTAAAATCACACCACACCCATTAATATATTATCTAAATTTACAAATACTAAACAATGACACTGTTCTGTTATTCACTTCGCTTTGCTTGATATCCCGTTCAGAAGCTTGTTCTACACTCCTTCCTTCTTGTACATCCCTCGCACATCGCAAGGGTAAGTTCAAAGTATGTTTTTAATCAACTAGCATGTGTAACTGACAAAACACGTTATCACCCCAATTGCTACATTACTTTGATAGAAAAATTGTAATACATCAAAGAAATGTTGCAACCAATACAAATTACAATGCATTGCTGCATGTGCAAAATGGCACAACAGAAGACATGTTCTTCACGGGATCGGAGTCATCGGACAAGACAAAATTGTTACTTCTATTTCAAGAGTACTTTAAGTTGAGCAATGATTCTGTTCTAGCGTTTTTCAAACAAGAGCATAAAAAAGTTCTATTAATGGTGATCAACAAGTATGGCCTCGAACAGCCCCATAGAGTCATAGACACAGCGAGCAATACGCAATACATTCCAAAGTGTATAGAGACAACGATCGATTCAATTTTGTAACATAACATTTGCTCATTACCTCATCACAATCGTTCTATATTACTATATATATATATATATATATATATATATATATATATATATATATATATATATATATATATATATATATATATATATATATATATAATGGTGGTAAAAAAACAGATTTGTTATTTTACATGGAGCACACGCTCCAAGTATGCATGTGCATTCCATTTTTGTAATTCATCTTTTGTTGTCTCTTTTTGCCAAATCTTTACATGTTTATAGATTCCGCACAAACCCTTGCACATCGTGCCATTCGTGCGTGCCCAAGCTACTAAACTTTATAAATTCTCAAATTATACATCTCAACTTGTGATACTCCGCCGGACTTCCTTCCCACAAAGATTTGACTTTTTGGTCAAAGAAAACGAATTTATAACTTTGAACTTTTATAATAGTATACTATTAACAGATAACGTTTTCTTACTATCACATAATACAGCAACAGACAACATTCAAGCGTTATTCCCGAGAGACTTTGGGGTCAGCTAACATGAATCGATTTAAAAAATATATTTAACGGTCACACCGTCTTTGGCAACAACAAAAAATCAAATGTAACTGTTCTTTGTGGGGCGAAGGTGGTATGACGTATGAGCCTGCTTCCCTAAAAGTAAAATGAATGGTAACACAATTTATGGCTATTCTCTCCTTGGATTAGCTTTCTATTTACAGATACTGGTTGGGGTTTTCTTTACTCTGGATGAGAGGGACACCATCATCCCGCCAAACTATTCTTCCTTCACATAGAGCAGCCACTACTTCTACATATAATTTATGCTCCTGATATAAAAAGTTCAAATGTTACTCCACCGCATATAGAAAATGAAAACAAACAAACAACAAATCCCATGCAAGTGGTGGAAAATCCTAAATTTATGGTTTGGAATTGCATCTGAATATTCTTCTTTAGTACTTCATTCATGTTAGATAATTTTAGATATTACTGCGTAATGGTTTTAGAAATTTAATTGGTGAGATAATTTCATGCCACCAACACCATAAAAACTCAAAGCAACATGAAACTTAAAAAATTCCTAACCTCATTGAGAACCCTTTCTGCCAGCTCATCAGCTGAGTCGTTAGCAAGCACAGGTACAACCCTCTGAGCAAGGATACGTCCTGTGTCATACTCTTCATCAACATAATGGATTGTGGGGCCAGAATACCTGCAAATGACCCAATGCAATTGAACAGATGCTAATAGAACAAGGGGGCATGTACTGAAGATGTGAATTGGAGATAATTGCAGGGCAGAAGGAGGAGGGGTATATAGTCACGGCAATAGAAGACTCTACACATATGAAACCCATATGACATGTCATATGAAACCTGTATGACATGTCACTTGTTCCTTCCCAAAAATAGTCATGTTTCTAATATGGATTCAGTATCTCAAACATGACTTTCTTTAGATGGAGGTACCTCCGTCTTTGTCCCTAAATAAAAAGTCTTATTTCCTTACTTAAAATTTGTTTGGTTCAAGAGTAACAGAGAAATAGAGAGAACTTATTGGAGGTGAAGTGGTTTCTTATACTGAAAATACACTTATTACTCTTATATCTTTACAATATCATAAGAAACAAGGATAAAATGGTAAATTCAGTGCACCTCCCTTCATATGTCCTCAGTGAGAGGGATGAGGAGAATCAGCCAATCAGGTTCCGGGTCATTTCATTGCTATTTACCCCCTACAAAACCTCAGAAATGAATTGGAAGCTGTGTCTTCTACTTAATTCTCCTCTATTGTTTTCTATTCTACTCCCTCCGTCCCGAAAAGGTTCGCCAACTTTGACTTTCACGTGGATTAATAAAGTAAAAACTGTGTGGTTGAAATTTGTGCAGAGGAGAGAGAATTAACTTTAGCCACATATTCCTTACTTTAAATGGAAATGGCAAATCTTTTTGGGACATCCAAAAAAGGAAATTTGGCAAACCTTTTCAGGACGGAGGGAGTATTTCTTTGCTGCCAAACATAGGATATTACTACTTTCTCATCTACTATCATAAGCATAATGGTCATGTCATATAAATATGTCTATTTCTTCAGTTGTATTCGTTCATTGGCACGGAAAATAACATTAATAGTGCGGTAATGAGATTTACCTAGCTCCAGAAGCAATCACTGCTTTGTGCACCTTCATCCCATAGTAACCTTTGCCTCCAAAAGCTGGGAGAAGTGAAGGGTGAATATTCAACATTGATCTTGGATAAGCTTGAATCAACTCAGAAGGTATGAGCTTTAGGTATCCGGCTAATAGAATGAAGTCAACTTTGTATTCTCTTCACATCTCATAAAGACAAGGAATTTATGTTAGAACATAAAATTAATAACATCCAGTGAAGAAACTGACACAAAGAAGATTCAAATGCTTTCCTTCTATTACAAAAGATATGCTTTCAGGAAAAGGAAAATTAACTATACCTTAGAGAGCCTACAAGATCTCCTGCAGACATACCATTTTCTGTATTATTTGGTTTCGGGAAGAGAATAACAGGTATTCCTCCATCTCTGGCAAAGTTGGCACCCCCACAATCTGCATATTATATGCAAAGAGTAAACTTGAATACTCTAAATCTACAAAAGGCTACACAGGGTTCAAGAAGCGCACTTGGTCAAAATAATAAATTGCAGAATTTCAAAAAATGATAATAATAATAATAATAAGAGAAAACATAAAAACACAACAGTCAGATATGCACAACATTTGGATACAAAAGACCTTTTAAAACGTTTCTTTAACAAAGTTATGATCTTTGGAAGATTAAAGCATATTCCTTAAAAAGAATCACCATAAGCATACAAACTACAGAACGCATCTTAATGTACAGAAAACTAAAACGCATCATCATATCAACATTTTAATCTGAACTGTGGCATCAAATATTTATCAATATAAATTCATGATTTATGGAATAGGAAGTACCAAGTTTATTGGTGACCAAAATAACCACCTCCCCGTTAACAGTCCCTTGCAGAGCCGCCTCTTGAATCGCCCTGAAATTTGAACCTCCACCGGAAACAAAAACAGCCAAGTTCTTCTTCCTCCTGGCTTCTGCATTGGATTCATTCTCAGGGCTATGTAGATGATCTCTTTCTGCTGCTTTGATGAAACTTGTACGAAAACTTTTCTTGGCCAATGAAATAGGCAAAACGAGGGAAGATTTGGTTTTGAGAGAGACCCACTTTGGAGATTGAATACTTGAATAAGTAGAAGCAAATGACGGGGCCAGAAAGAATGTCACTTCTGGGTTTTGTGTGGCTAACGGGTGAGAGAGTCTAAAATTCATGCTTAGAGCTTCCATTCAGACAGTCAAATAACAGACCAAAGCAGGGCCGGTCCAGGAATCGTAGAGACCCTGTGCGACAAAAAAAATGGGCCTCTCTTTCCAACACAAAGGGAAATAGAATATAAATAATAATGGTAATAGTACTAAATTACAACTAATTTATTAATAAAATACATTTCATGAAATTCGAGTTAATATTGAACATAATAGCAAAAACAAATGTATTCATCAATAAAATACATTTCATGAAAAAAGAGACATAATTCTTTTGAAGCTTCTCATGTCTAAATTGATATTTCTTTGGAAATATAATTCCGATAATCATGTACATGTTTACAAATTTAAGTTAAAAATTGAAATTATGAATTAAAGACTTTAAACCCACAACCTAAAGTAATGCGTAGTAAGTAATAACATATTTATGCAATTTATTAAATATAAATAGTTCTATTAATTCATCAAACAATTACACAAAATAAAAAATAACAACCTGTTAAATTTCATCATAGATTTAAGGCTTAAGGCCTTAGTAATCTATTTTTAGTCCAAACATATAATAAAATTAATGATTCAATAATATATAATTTAAAAGTTAAAAATTAAAATAGTCAAATAGAAAACATACCTGCCGTGGAGAGTAGCTGAGTAGGCAACGTGCGTCCAGACTGCAGCGGTACTAATTCTGCTGAAGTGCAGCAAAGAATTGTTGATTGTTGAACGTCTGAAATCAGGGGCGGATCCAGAAAGTCACAATGGGGTGGGCTCGGGAAAAAATTGAAATACACATACATAATAACAAGTCAAGTCGTCAACACTTTAAATATTCATCAAAACATCATTTAAGTTGTGCCCTACGCGACTTCAAAGTATAAAATTCATCAATAACATAATCTACATCTATATTATTGACAAAGTCTCGTTCAATGTAGATCATCAATGAATCTTCAAGAAAATCATCTCATATTTTGTTACGAAGTGCCGTCTTCACATGCTTCATTGCTGAAAATGCTCTTTGTAATGGGATAAACTTCCATTCTCGGTTGATAAGGTCCAACATTTAGATATGCACGTCTCACACTCTCACTTCATCTTGCACATTGACATGATATTAGGGCTGAGCCTGATCTGGGAATTCATGTTCCGTACCGAAGAACCGTCCCGAACCGTTCCAGAACCGATAGCACCGGAAAAATGTAATACCGTACCGTACCGTTCCGAGCTTTTTTAATAATATGGTACGGTACCGGTTCTTAGTGAAAACCGTACCGGAACCGTCCCGGAACCGGACTGAACCGGACCGTCTCGTACCATCCCGAATTGTCCCAAAAACTAGTGTTATAATATAATAATATATTATATATAATATAATAATATGTATAATATATTATATACCGAGTATAATTGTCCATATATTACTCTTACATCTTCTTTGGGCCCAAGATGCTGAAGTTGTTGAGGCCCTGATGCCAAGGCTTATTATTGATTGTTGACAGAAATCGCCCCGAGGTCCTGATGGCTTATGCCATTGCCTAGAATTCTGGCAGATTTAGTCTAGCTCAAATATGGATTATTAAGTTGATTATTTTTGTCATGTGATGTGATACTTTTTGGTTTTTCAGTTTGACGATCACTTTTGCATTTTAGTTTGGATGTTACTTTTCTTTAATATAGTTTGACTATTAATTTCATATTTCAATTTGATCACACAATATCAGTTTAATATAATCTTTCAAGTTCTTCTCTTCAATTTTTGTAGAGTTATTTATAAATGTTAAAATCTAAAGTTTTTTATATTTCATGGGAGTTATTTAGTTATTTAAGAACCGTACCGAACCGTACCGGACCGTACCTAAAATTGGTACAGAACGCCGGAACAGGACAGGTTCTACATATACGCGGGACGGTACCGGTTCTTGATTTTTAAAAGAACCGTACTTTGAGACGGGACAGGTTTTTCGAAATAACCGTCCCGTACCATCCCATGCTCACCCCTACATGATATTCATGAATTTGCTTTCTTTTTCCCGGATCCCTCTCAATGCACAAAGATGAAGGCAACTTGATAGACAGCAGCAACTTGAATTGGAGGAGGAGAGACCGAGATCATTGTTGGTCTACCGAAGGCGGGGACGGGCTTGAGCTCACCTCCGTGGGCTGGGTTTCTTTTTAATAAACTTTTAATTTATTAATTATTTTGTTGTTTCTTTATTGGGCCTGGGGAGTATTTAATTTATTAATTATTCTGTTGTTTCTTTATTGGGCCTGGGGAGTATTTTAATAAGGATTATGTATTCCGTGATTAGGGTATTTATATCCCTAATTAGGGTTCAGCGAAGGCAGCCATCAATAATATTCAGTTTGGAATTTCTGTTATCATCAATTGGTCCGACCTGCCGGATCCCGTTTCCGCCGGAATGACTAGATCTAACACCGAGCGTTTGACGGAGGTGGAGGCCGAACATGCCTCGATGAACCAGAAACTGGATGCGCTGAGTGCGCAATTGGGTGAGATCGCAGCCGCCCTGGCTGCGCTCACGACGGTGGGCGCAACTGGAGGGAAGGCGACAGCGGCGTCCGGGCCTTCGGCGGCAGCCACCTTCAGCAGCGGCGGCGACTTCGAAGATCAGGGCGGCTTCGCCGCTTCTGGGCGACGTCCGCGAGGCACGCAGGAGGCGCCGTTTCCTTCGTTTGACGGGGAGGATCCCATTGGTTGGATTGCTAGGGCCGAGCAGCAATTTGAATTGAGTGGTACGCCGCCAGAGAGGAAGGTACCAGCAGTTGTAGTTGCCATGGAAGGAGCAGCCTTGTACTGGGTAACGTGGTTAAGGATGCGGAAGCCTAGCATGACGTGGGAAGAGTTCACACAGGCACTCGTGGCGAGGTTTGACACGCGGTTTACGGGCAGTCGTTTCGAGCGATTGTCCGGGGTCAGGCAGACAGGGACGGTGGAGGAGTATACCGCGATCTTTGTCCCGTTGGCGAGTCAGGTCCCAGGGTTGTCTGACGAGCATTACATGGGGTATTTTATGAATGGTTTGAAGGGGCCGATTCGGGGTTCATTACGGTTGCTGCGCCCGAACAGCTTGGAGACAGCAATGGAACTAGCCAGAGACATAGAGGACAATCTGTCCTATCAAAGTGGAGGGCGTGGGAGTCAGCCATACAGCAATGCGGGGACACGTTCGGGGGGTTATCCTCGACCAAGTGGGGGTAGCAGTACGGCCACAAGTGGTGGCAGCATTAAGGGGTCTAGTAGCAGCTGGCTTAAGGCGTCTGGACAGGTCACTGGGACCCAATCAGGGCTGTCGGGGCAGTCTACGGCACGTTCCAAGTTCACTCGGCTTCCGCCAAGAGTATTAGAAGAATTGCGAGCAAAGGGATTGTGCTTTAAATGCAAGAAACCATTTACCCCGGGGCATGACTGCTCGTTAAAGCAGTTACGAGTGTTGTTAGCAGAAGAGGACGAGGAGTTGGACCTTCAACAACATGACTACTGCGAGATAACCGGACAAGAAGATGTCCCAGAGGATCGGGATGGATTAGAAGGAGGTGAAGGAGATTTTCCAGTCTATTCTATGGCTGGAATTTTCAGCCCGAGAACGATGAGGCTTCAGGGGGTAGTTGCGGGCTGTACCGTGGATATTTTGATAGACAGTGGCGCAAGCCACAACTTTATTTCTTCGTCCCTGGTCTCCTTTTTACAATTGAGCCCGGACAGGACAGGCAGATTTGGGGTGCAATTGGGAGATGGGCATAGACAAGAATCGGAAGGGGTGTGTAGACAACTTCCCATCGTGTTACCGGGGTGTGCTATCACCGCAGATTGTTACGTGTTTGCTTTGGTGGGGGTCGATCTCATTCTGGGCGTGGATTGGCTGGCGACATTGGGAGAAGTCCGGACAGATTGGAGAAAATTAACCATGAATTTCGAGATTGGGGGAAAGCGAGTAGAGCTACGGGGTGATCCTGCGATGAGCAGGAATGCGGTTAGCCTTCAAACCCTTTTGAAGACCACTGACGCAGAAATTTGGGCGATACTTCTAGTCTATAATACTGTCAAATTCCTGGAGCAGTCCCTGGCGCCGAGGATGACAGGGGCGGGCAGCAAACTACTGGGGCAGTGGAGGATATTCTCAAGCAACACGCGGAGGTGTTTGAGGAGCCGCGAGGGCTGCCCCCTCGTCGCACGACAGACCACCGAATAGAGTTGATGCCCGGATCAAAGCCAGTGTCAGTTCGACCATATAGATATGGACACTTGCAGAAAAATGAGATTGAAAAATTAGTTGATGAAATGCTATGGGCAGGTATCATTCGGCCCAGTTTGAGCCCATTCTCGAGCCCGGTTCTTTTGGTTAAAAAGAAAGATGGAAGCTGGCGATTCTGCGTGGACTATCGGGAGTTGAATAAGTCCACAGTGCCGGATAAATATCCAATTCCGGTGATACAGGAGATGCTTGATGAGCTGGCCGGGGCAGTGGTGTTTTCCAAGATAGATTTACGCTCGGGCTACCATCAGATAAGGGTGGCTGAAACAGATGTACACAAGACCGCTTTCCGTACACATAGCGGGCATTATGAGTTCTTAGTCATGCCATTCGGATTGACGAATGCGCCAGCAACGTTCCAATCCGCAATGAATGACTTGTTTCGACCCTATTTGCGCAGATTTGCCCTGGTCTTCTTTGATGACATTTTGGTTTACAGTCGGTCATGGGCAGAACACAGGAAACACTTGGAATTGGTTCTGATCATCCTGGAAAAGAACCAGTTTAAAGCCAACAAGAAGAAATGTGAATTTGGGTGCTTGGAGATTGAGTACTTGGGACACATTATTTCACAGGCCGGGGTGGCTATGGACCCGGCAAAAGTCAGCGCAGTAGTGAGCTGGCCGCAGCCTCGCTCAGTCCGAGAAGTTCGGGGATTTTTAGGGCTGACCGGATATTACAGGCGGTTTGTGAAGAGGTACGGTCTTATTGCACGACCACTCACGACTCTTCTGAAGAAGGATGCACCAGCCCATTTTGTGTGGCCTCCCGAGGCCGAGGAGGCATTTCAGCGCCTTAAAAAGGCACTGACCGAGGCACCCCTATTAGCTATGCCCCGATTTGATCGACAATTTGTGGTCGAGTGTGATGCATCCGGTACCGGCATTGGGGCGGTGCTCATGCAGGAACGACGGCCCATTGCATATTTCAGCAAATCCTTGGCAGATAGAACCCTTTCCAAATCAGCTTATGAAAGGGAAATGATGGGGCTGGCCTTAGCCGTTCAACACTGGCGACCGTATTTGATTGGACGGCAGTTTGTGGTTCGTACGGATCATCGCAGCCTCAAGCACCTGCTGACTCAGCGAATAGCAACTCCAGCACAACAGTTTTGGGTGGCGAAGTTATTGGGGTATGATTTCGTGATTGAGTACAAGACAGGCATCTCCAATGGAGCGGCTGACGCTCTATCGAGAAGGGGGGAGGAAGCTGCATTGGCCGCAATAAGCGGCCCTGAATGGCTAGGAATGGCGGATGTGGAGGAAGAGCAAAAAAGGGACAAATTCTTGCAAGGGACTGTTCAAGCCCTGGTTAGCGATCCAACTTGTATGCCAGGCTATGAACTGATTGGAGGACGGTTGTTTTACAAAGACCGTTTAGTGTTGGCTTCAGATTCCAAGTGGATTCCTATCTTGTTGAAGGAATTTCATGACACACCGACAGGAGGGCATGCTGGAGCTTACCGCACCTATAGAAGGCTGGCCATGAATGTATTCTGGAGGGGGATGTTTCGCCGTGTGCAAGACTATGTGGCACAGTGTTTGGTTTGCCAGAAGAACAAGTACGAAGCTATGTCACCAGCAGGATTGTTGCAACCACTACCCATTCCAGATCTGATTTGGGAAGATATTTCAATGGACTTCATTACTTGTTTGCCAAAATCGAAAGGGTATACAACGGTTCTCGTGGTAGTGGACAGGCTGTCCAAGTATGGACATTTTATAGCTCTTAAGGCTCCTATTACGGCACGATTAGTGGCAGACATGGTTGTCATGGCGCATGGCGCAACCCATGGCGCACACGTCATTTTCCATGGCGATGGCGATGGCGCAAATATGGCGTCGCCACGTGACAAAAAAAATAAATCAAAACGAATAATAGTTAAAGTTTACCCAAGTTTACCCAACCACTAAAACATGATAAAATAGTTCAAAGTACTTCCAAAAAACATAATATTCAAAAAAAAAGTTTCTGTCTTGCAAAATATGTTAGGATTTAGGCTTGTTAGCTTGTTTTTGTTTGATGATTATGGCATGAATGTATTTAAAGGCTTGAATGTATTTTAAATATTCATATTTAAACTTTAAACACATTATCCTAAGTTTCTGTCATTGTTGTTGTTTTCTTTCACTTTCTGACAGAGCTCCTTAGCAAAGGCAACAGACATCCTTTGCTCTGCCTCTTCGGTTACCTTTATAATAACAATTAAGAAAAAAAAATTCAATGAGCATCATGTAAAGTAAATTAAAATAAAAATGATCAATGAGCATCAACTACTGTAAAAATTTCAATGAGCATCAACTACTGTAAAGTTCAGTTTAAACTTTAAACACAAAATATAAAGTTTAAACTTTAAACACATTCATAAACACTTTATCTTTAAGTTTAAACTTTACATAAATTATATACCATAGAAAGTCTCTGTTTTAGTTAAACCATGCACATTTAAGTTTAGACCATTCACAGTAAAGTTTAGACTTTCATAAACAGTCTAAATTAACTTATAAAAGTGTATCAATTTATCAGTTTAAATACTTTGAGTTCTAAAGTAAAAACTTCATTTTTCAATGCTATAACTCCTATAAGTATTAAAGTAAAAACTTCATTTTACAAATCCTATAACTCATATAAAGTTTTGGATAAACTGTAACTTATAAACTGAACTTTTATTCATTAATACACAGCATTAAAGAGGTTGTAGTACCTTATGTAGTTGGAAGAAGTCAACGACAGTCCGTCCCCTTTGTCGTTTGCCTTTCTCGGTTGTCGCAGAGCTTTTTTGTTGTCGCAGTAGCTTTAACTTCTCATCACGTGTTCACTTTGTTGTGTTTATTTATTTTTAGTTAGGGTTGTTGTTAGTATTATGGGCTAAAATAGTAAGTTTTGTTAGAGTTTTATTGTTGTTATGGGCTAAAATAGATTGTTATGGCCCAAACCTAAACAACTTACAGCTCAAAAACGGACCCATTTTTTAAAAAAGCATTCGCGTCGCCATGTGTATACACCTCGCCACCAGCCCTTTTCATAGCGCATCTGGGATTTCGCGCCTCATGGCGCATGGCGCGCGCGCCATTCTGCGCCATTGACTACCATGGTGGCAGAGGCTTTTTCTAAAGAAGTCGTTCGGTTGCATGGCATTCCACGATCTATTGTCAGTGATCGTGATTCCTTGTTTATCTCTGCGTTCTGGAAGGAACTGTTTGCACTTTCAGGAACACAACTGAAATTTAGTTCGGCTTATCACCCGGAAACGGATGGCCAAACGGAGGTATTGAATCGTGTTTTGGAGACTTACTTGCGCTGTTTTACTTGTGAGCAGCCGAAACAGTGGTTCAGGTGGCTTCCATGGGCTGAATACTGGTATAACACTGCATTCCAAACAGCAGCCAGGGTTTCTCCATTCGAAGTTGTGTACGGGAGACCACCACCGTCTATACGGAGATTTCTGCCCGGCGAGAGCAAAGTGGCTGCAGTGGCAGATGTGTTAGGGAGTCGAGACACCATGTTGGGATGTTTAAAAGAGAATTTAGCAAGGGCACAACAGCGAATGGTTGCACAGGCTAATAAACATCGCCGGGAGATCAATTTCCAGGTTGGGGACAAGGTGTTTTTGAAGGTGAGACCTCATCGACAGTCTACAGTGTTCCGTCAACCTTACCATAAGTTATCATCCAAGTTCTATGGGCCATTTTTGGTTGAGGCACGAGTGGGGGCAACGGCTTACCGATTGGCGTTGCCTTCCACCAGCCGCATACACCCTGTGTTTCATGTATCCCAACTACGACGGGTGGTGGGCGATCACCCAATAGAGAATGAGCTGCCAGAAAGTTTGGAACTACCGGTGGGGCCAGAGTTTGAACCGGACGAAATATTGGCTCAGAGGGCAGGAGGCGAGGATGGGGCAGCTGAGGAGGAACTGTTGGTCAAATGGGTGGGACAATCTATTGATGATGCTACTTGGATGAGGAAAGACACGTTCAAGAGCCAGTTTCCATATTTCAACCTTGAGGACAAGGTTGTTTCGAAGGAGGATGGAGTTGATAGACAGCAGCAACTTGAATTGGAGGAGGAGAGACGGAGATCATTGCTGGTCTACCGAAGGCGGGGACGGGCTTGAGCCCACCTCCGTGGGCTGGGTTTCTTTTTAATAAACTTTTAATTTATTAATTATTCTGTTGTTTCTTTATTGGGCCTGGGGAGTATTTAATTTATTAATTATTCTGTTGTTTCTTTATTGGGCCTGGGGAGTATTTTAATAAGGATTATGTATTCCGTGATTAGGGTATTTATATCCCTAATTAGGGTTCAGCGAAGGCAGCCATCAATAATATTCAGTTTGGAATTTCTGTTATCATCACAATTCCAAATTTGAGATAGTTTGGATTTAAGGGACTTGGGCATGTGGAGGAACCTCATTCAGTACATGTTGCAGTATCGTAGGTATAGGTTCAGAACTCCCTTCACCAATTTCACGATTCACTTTTGGAAAGAATGATAGAGATCAACTTCTTTCCTTTCTTGACAATGTGTTCACTATCCATTCTAAAAAACATTTCCAATATTGATATAAAGTAAAATACTTATATAAAAAATATAACTAATAAGGAAAAAACAAACATTGTACACTTGTACATAAAACTAATAAGTATTCTCAATTTTCAATTGCATAATAACTAAATTATTTTCTACTCTTTAATTCTATCTTTAATCATTATAAATTTATAATGAATTAAACACTATTTAATTATGTATTGAAAAATTCAATTAATAATCACACATTCACAATTGGAGCAAATAACACATTCACACAATCACACATAATAGATTAATGCTAAAAAATCAATTACTGCAAGAGTGCAAGTCCGCAAAGGCAATTGGAGTTTACCTGGAGGCTGGAGCCTGCTGGACTGCTGGAGGGAAGCGCAGAGGTAGAGCCGCACACCCGCACAGGCGGACAGCCGGACAGCGGACGACGAGGACGGCGGCGCGGCGTGGCTGATGGCCTGATGTTCACGGTCTTCCGTCTTCGGTCTTCCTCGCAGTCCGCAGAGTCGCAGGTTCGCAGCTCCTAAAGTGATATCGCAGCTCTAATTGCGTAGGCCGAGAGAGGCGAGAGAATTAATCTGGGCTGTACGCTGTGGGCTGTGGGCCGGGATTTAATTAGGGCTGGGCTGAGAATTAATTTGTGGTAATTACCGGTATAGTTCACTTTTACGTGCAACATATCATTTATGTCCTTGTTATTTTCTCTTTTCATTTGTAAACTTTTCTGTTTTCAATTTTAATTTCTTTATTTCACTTTTAGATACGATCGCCAACATCCTCCGTCTATTCATACTTTTATCTTCCTTCGCATCTCGTCTTATACCTCTCCATCGGCTACTTGGGAAGGGAAGCTCTCGATCGGCGATTTGCGTCTAATCGGTGGCTCTCTCTGGTAACATCATCTTAGCGATAGGAGGACAACCGAGACACGCCGTTGCAGGAGAGTTTGGAACAACGATGGAGCTCTCAACATCGGGACAGAGATACTCCGTTAATGCGCAGTCCAACTTTCAATCGTGCGCGTGTCTAGCCTTTCTTCCGGTACCGTCTAGGGCTACGACCTTTCGGCGACCAGGGGCCAATTCTGGAGAGTAGCGAACATAGTCATTTCTGGAATTCAAATCGATGCAACTCCAGGTGTAGATTTTTTTTACCTATAAATCTGATCACTACTGCGGTATTCAGATCTTTTTGCTCTAAAATAATAACCAGTGAGTTCTAAGCTTTTCTCTTGAATTTCATTGGTTGTTTCTGTTCAAGTACTCTTCATTTCTATTTCTGGTTAGTTTGCTTCTGATTTGGCCTCTGAGGTGTAGTGTTGCATCTGGATTTTCAGAGTAAATTTGTTTATTTTCATCAAATTCTGATTTTTTCTAGGATTAAATAACGTTTTTCATTTTAATTCTTTTTTGTAAGATCTGTAATTTGGTTCAACCTTATTTAGACATTTAATCAGTTTGGGTGATAAATAAAAATCCTTCTTTGTCTGCTACTAAGTATTTGTTATTTGCTATGATTTTGCCTTCATTTAGAAGGATTAAATCATTTTTTTTCATTTACCCCAATGCCGCAAAGGCTCCCACCTACGGTGGGGTAAGGGGGGGGGTCGGATGTACGCAGTCTTACCCCTGTACTAAAGCACAGAGAGACTGTTTCCAGATTTAGAAGGATTAAATACCTTCTGTATTTTTTTAATCACTCAATTTTCAAAATCAATTTGCCTTTGAATTGTGATATCCACTTTTGAATGAAGGAATTCAATAAGAAATAGTTTGTGTACATCCACTCTTGAATATTCAAAACTGTACATCCAATTTCGAATAAGAAATTGTTTGTGTATTTGTTGTTTATATGTTCTTGTTGAAGCAAGAAAAAGTGTATATCGAGCAAGTGAATATTCAAAACGTTAGAGAGGAGAGCACTTCTCTATGATTTTGGGGCTGAATTGGTTCTTACTGATCCTGCCAAGGCATGAAAGGTTGCATTCAAAAGGTTGCAGAAATACATCCCAAAACAGCTAATCCCCTCCACTCTTTAACAGTTTGAAAATCCCAGCTATTCAACCCAAATATACCTTATGAAACTATTGAGCCAGAAATTTGGAAAGGATCAAATGGTAAAATTAATGCTTTCATCTCTTGAATTGGTACAGGAGGCACTATTACTGGTGTGAGCAAGTTCCTTAGGGAACATAACCAAAACGTAAAGATGTATGGAGTTCAACTTGTTGAAACATGTTCTCAACAGAAGAAAGTCTGGTCAATACAAGATCAAGGGAACTGGCACCAGTTTTGTCTCGGGGTCATATATGTTAATCTTATCAATGAAGTAATTCAAATTAAATGAAGTCATTGGAACTCCAAAGCAGCTTGCCACAAAAGAGATATTGCTAGTGTGAATATCATCAGTTGCAGCTGCTAAAACTGTTGTGATTAGAGTTGCAAAGAGGCTTCAGAATGCTGGGAAACTTGTTGACATTTTCCCGAATGTTGTATAGCATTATCTTTCTTATTAACTCTTAGAATCCGTTAGGCATGAAGCAGAGAACATGGTCTTTGAGTCGTGAATGAATTTCTTGAAAGTCACTTTTGATGCTTTTTTCCTTTTTGTTTCTCTTTGTTTTATTTTGTTGCTTTTTTATGCATCGTATGTGTTTCTTTTTGTTGCATCATGTTTCTTTTTTTGCAACATGTTTTTTTTGTTGCATGGTATGTGTTTCTTTTTGTTGCACCATGTTTCTTTCTTTTTTTGCATCATGTTTCATTTGCTGGTATTGTGTTGTTTATTGTTATTTACAATTAATTCTGATTTTTGTCCAATTACTCAATTAGGTTTCTATTTATATGTGCTACATACTTATTTGGATTACAAAATCTATATATAGATATGCATATGAAAACACCTTTAGTAATAAATGTTATCTTTTGTTGCTTTTTGTTGCATTATATGTGTTTCTTTTTGTTGCATTGTGTTTTTTGTTGTTGCATTTTGTTGCTTATTGTTGTTTATAGTTGAATTTGATTTTAGTTGTTTTTTAGGTTCCTGCTTATATATATTTGCTACTTCTTTGGAATAAAAAAATCAAAAATGATATATTTATCATGATAGTTTCATATGTTATCTTTTGTGGCATTATATGTGTTTCTTTTTGTTGCATTTTGTTGTTTATTGTTGTTTACCGTTGAATTTGATTTTAGTTGTTTATTTAGGTTCCTGCTCATATATCTTTGCTACTTCTTTGAAATCAAAAAATCATTTATAGATATGTAATCACCTAAAATGATAAATTCGATGTATGAATATCAACAATAAAACTTGAAGAAACAATAAAAAACAAATATTCGAAATTTGCAACAAAAATAAACATAAAGAAACACAAATAAACAACATGCAACAAAAAATAACAATAAAATGATAATAAGAATTAAACTTCGTAGTTGCTTTCAAATTTATTAAAAATCATACTTTGTAATAATTTTTGCTTTTTTACGTTTTTAATATTTTAGATTTTTTACATTTGGCATTCGAGTTTGGAATTATTACCTTTTCTGAATAATTTTATACTATTTACCTTTTTGTTTCTACTTTTTTTATTTATGTATTGTACGTTTTTTTTGTTTATTGTTTTCATTCTTTTTAGGGTTTTAAATTTTCCCCCCATAAACAGGTTTTATTTTACTTTTGTTAAGTTTTGTGATTTCTTTCATTGTTTCAGCATTGTTATAAATTTTTACATTTTTGCTTTCTAATTTTTATTTTAAATTAAAAAAAATAAAGTAATTCTTCACTTTTGACTTATACGAAGTATTTTAGAATCACAAGAAATAACAATCTTACAGATTTTATAGATTTTATAGATTTTAAAAATTACAGATTTTATATTTTGTTTTATAGTAATCATTTTTACATTTATTTTTAGTTCATGAAATTTTCAAAATTTACAATTTTTCAAATGTTCCTAAATACTCCATATTTTACAATTAAGCAATTTTCCTCCTACTTATTGAACGAACTTGTTGAGTGTAAATCTCGTAGATCCGAAAGCCCAACACGAACTTTGGATATATCAGGAATGGCACAGAATCAAAGTGTATAAACAAAATATAAAATGTGAACTCACTAATACTCGAAAGCTCACTTGTATTAACTAACCAGTCTGATTACAAGGAATTTCCCGATCGGTAGGTCGGAAACAATGCTTTAATACAAGAAATAAGAGCAATGATGTTATTCTAGAGCCTGAGTATTGAAATGCTAACACTTACAATGACTTGAAACATTCTATTTATACTAGTGGAGAGCATGGGCTGCCCTATGCTGATTGCCCATTGTTCCACCGACTTGGTCACCCATGTTTCCACTTGCTGATGTCACAATCTGGCATTAATTGCACCTGGCCACTTGCCGGTTGGCCGTTGCTCGAACGGGATGTTGGGCTATGCTGAAGATGCTGTCAAATTGGCCCAAGTATAATATATAGTCCGAACTCCGTTCGGTATGTCTTCTCACTGGGCCAACCCTTATTTGGGTCGAATCTCGTTCGGCATTATTTCTACCTTGATTATCTTATCATAGCGTGATGGGCCCGTTGCTTGGGCCGGGTATCTTGGGCCTTCCTGATCCGGGTATTGGGCCTCTGGATCAATATCCCAACACAAGTCCCCCACTTTCGATGTCTCGAACAACAGTGAGTGCATTAGGAAGTATGAATATCAATGTTGCAATCTGCCGAATGGCGATCGGGGTACAGAAGTAATCAGTTCCCCATGCTGTGATTTGACGGCTGTCGCTTCATTTCCCCATATTCATCATGGTAACCGTCGTTTAGTCTTATCATTAGACGCGTGTTTAGCTTAAATGCTTCTAGTGACGTGTCGCTCCCTGATTGGTTCTTGATACGGTGGTTTCAAGGCTATAAAGTAGCCTTTAACTTCTCAAATCCGGGTTTCGATTCTGCAATTCTCTACGCCTTGTTGATTCCCCTGCAATCTTCTCCCAGCTTCCATCGCTCAGGTACCTTCCCTCCCTCTGTTCCTTATCTTCATTTCTGGCTCGACCGAGATGAGCCCCAAGCAGCATTCCTCTGATTCGGAGATGGCCTCCCATGGAGATGACCGTGACGCCGCTATTGTGGACGTCATCACAGTCCCGTTTGCCGGTGGTTCTACTGAAACGACGACGAATACCAGGGCTGAGGCGGAGGACCTTCCTAGCACTTCTTCTTCCTCCAGTGAAGATTCCGACGATACCAAATCCGAGGATGAAAAAGCCTCCATGGCGGCCGGACGTCCCAACGATTTCCCTCGCCATACCCTTGACCTAAAATTGATTAGAGAGAGGCGGCAAAAACTGACCTCCCATAATAGGGCCGAAATTCCGGCCCTTATCCCTGACCCGGTGGATTTTCGTTTGCAAGCTGGGCTTCACCCAATGCGTCATAGGCCCGGAATGACTATAGTTCATTTTGACTCAATTAGGGCCGGCCTTAGGTTTCCGCTACACCCCTTTTACATTTCATTCTTCAATTTCTACGAAGTTGTACCGGCCCAAATTATGCCGAACTCCTATCGGGCA